AAATAATCACGTGCTGCTTCGCTAGATTTGAACAATTCCGAAAAATAATACGATATGAAGACAGAAATGAAATAGAAATGTCAATGTCACAATAAAATGAGATTGTTTATGGCAATTAATTTGAAATGTACTACCAAACAAGTTAACACATTTAACAGTGTATATAGTGTGGCGTATTTCTACAAGTGTTAGAAAATTGCGGAGCCGCAAGTAAAATTTAAACAATTTAAATTCAGGTTCCGCTCCGTCTCATAGAAATTTTAATTTTCACTGCTTTTCCGTGGTTTTGAGATTGTCTTTTAGTTTATGGGGCGAATGACCTCACCGTTGTACTCATCACCCCGGGCCCACGGAAACCAAACGAGAAAAGAGAGGGGAAAACAGCAGAAAAATACCAAATAAGCAGCGATCGGTCGGTCCGTCGTATTTAGATGCCACTTCGTAACTAAATGAACGACCATATCATGGCTAAAAGCACGGGAAATGAGTTCCGACAGGCAGAAGGCCGGCCCACGTGGCGCGCCGCTAGCTCCCCGTTTTAGCGGGATATTACGGTCGACGCACCTTAATGAGCTAGCGCATGCGATGGGAGGCTTTGTGCGTAGTTACACTAATGAAGCAATGTCATTTTTTAAGTTCTCTTCCGGAGAAGTGAGGGCCTTGAAATTACTGCTTAGAGTTCAGCAACCTTCGGGAGAATGTCACTGAGTGACAAAAAAAACCCCACCGAAATAATGATACGAATAATGCAGTGAACTTCTCAAAATGTTGGAGAGTTATGCAGGTGTATGTATGCACGTAGGTCTATACTGATGCATATTGTGGAGCGTCAAAAATGAACAACCTTATTTTCCCATTTTCTGCTAGTAGAAATTTAGATTTTAGATGTCAGAACACCCGTTTTTGAAAATGCCAATTTTCTGCCAGCAGAAAGTTAAGTTTTACTTTTACGATTCAAAAACTGCTAGCAGGAAATGGGAAAACGGTGATGTCCACTTTTGGACCATCATAATTTTTGCTAGTAAGAATTTGAGATTTGTAGTTGTCCACTTTTGAAGCGCCGAGAAAGTCCTCAAAGTCCTCATGCCATATTTTCAATGGGGAGCGCCAATAAAATCCTTAAATCATTCACACTATATTAACTACAAATGCACCCTTGTCACGACTATTTCTATAGGGGAGACCGTTCGCATGTACATCACAATCCTTCTTTTTGCTAATGCAATTTTTTTTTACGGAATTTTGTTTTTGTTTTTGGGGTGGGGGGGGGGGGGGCTAGACAATTTTTTTTCGGGGGGGGGGGGCTAAACCCCCCCCCCCAGCCCCCCTGTAGAACTGCGCCTGTCAGTCAGTCAGTCAGCTGCATAGAGGATGCGAGGCCGGCCCATTTGGAACTAGCAAAAATGACATATCATTGTGTCCATATACTGCACACAAACATCCTACTGCCATGTGCATATTTACTTGGACTCTCAATTTCTGAATGTGGACTTGAATTTTCCGCATGTTATGCCTTTCATGAAATATCAACACAACGAATTGTATTGATATGGAATGAATACATAATAATAGCTTGTTCACAAGAATAATTTGATATACCGTCAACACAACCGCTGCGATATTAAATATCAGGCATGGGGAAGGACTTTTATCATTGTCATGAATTAAATTTGTTCCAGGCCTCGATTCTTTGGGTCCGCGATTCTTGAAATAAAAGGTAATGGTTGTCAAGTGAATTTGCTTGTGCAAGAGAGCGAACGAGGCCTACGGGTGGAGATGAAAATTGTGAATATGTATACAACTGCACGAATGTATACTGAACCGTAGAAAAAAAGAGTCAAATGAAATTAGTTTTCAAAAGGAAAAAATGTAAATTTATTCCAAAAAGTAAAAAAAAAGAACATTGTAAAATGAATGTTTCTATGTTTTAAGTGCCACAGTTTTAAACGTATAAGCGCATGCTTTTCAATATGACGTAAAGGGAAAAAAATGTGATTTTGTTTTGTCCAGAACAAGAAATGTTTTGTTAGGCAGTGTTTAAAAAGAACTGATTTTATACCCCTCCACCAAAGTTAAATCAAATTCAAAATAAATGTCTGACGACACACTTTCCATTTTCTATTCATATTATGTGCACGTTGAAACTCGAGTGTTGGATTTGATACCCCGCAGTGTTAAAGAAAACACCTCTAATGTCTTTACCCAAGAGCAAAATGTGATGAATATTTAATAACATTCAGGAAACCAGTCAATCAAAACTGATGAATATTCAATAACAGGTCGAAAAACAATAAGTCGGTGCCAATTAATTAATTTTTGTTTTTACTGCATTTATGTGTTGCTTCTCTTAAAATCCACTGGGCTTGCCGTTACTCGAGTGCCAGACTCCAAGTTATTTTATGTAAACAAAGCCGGATTAAAATTTTCCGAACACATAGAAATCTCAAGAATGATTTTACACGGACCTAATCGAACAGAAACCTGCCACGAACCGACCATGTGATTATTTAGTCCTTGTTACAGATTCCTTACACAACAAGAACAGGTTAAGGGGTCCTGTTTTTTGGGGTTTTTTTGGCTTTTTAGCGCTAGCGGCGGAACTAGGGTCAAACTCTTGTGGGGCACCCGGGTGCATCAGTTTTTTTCAAGAAGACGGGGAACTAAGGGCAAACGAAACGTATATCACTTCAGTATTGCAGTAAACATTTTTTTTAATGAATTCAATATTTCAAGGGGGGGGGCAACTGGGGAGGGGGCACGTATATCCGCTGTGGGATGGGGGCACCTCCCCGTATAGTTACGCCTCCGTTTTGAATATCCTCTCCACCGGTATCAATAACTTAATTGTAGTTTGCGCGAACCTTTCTTATCCAACGAATCATAGCGGTGCCCAGGGGCTTCGTGGGCCCATCCCGTCACCTGCCCCTCAGCCCACAGCCTTGGCATACACAGCCCATGCTACGGTGCTTATGTTCAAATAGCTACGGGAGTTTGAAAGTACCTCCCGGCCCGGGGACCCCGTCGAGACTTGGCAGGATAATGAATCGTTGAGTCCCTCACGTTTTCTGTATTTGAGAAGGGGTATCGTGCACCATCGGAAATCAACTTCTAATCGACGTCCCTAGACCAAATAACATGGGTAGAAAACGATCTGCTGTGTTAAAAAACTGGAATGGAATGGGTACGAGAACTCAAACTATGGCTCTGAGAAATACTAAAACGAATACAGAATGACCCAATCAATGACCATGTCTCCTTCAAGAAGGTCGATGACAACAAAGATCACGATAAAGATGTGGAGACGAGCGAAAAGATGAAGCGTCTGTTATTCTCCATCGGGCAAGACCTGTGCCGTGCTGTGTCGGAGGTGAGTGAAACTGCACTTTCCATATCATTGGGGAGAGTTGTAGGAATCTGGTCGCACACTGATTGCATAAGATATTGATAAGTGCACTTTACTGGAGGAAATAGGATGTCGAACCAAAACTTGGTTCTGGGTGGATAAAGTAAATTCAAAGTAGAATAGATGTACGCCTGGGCATACGTTTATGGTGCTGCAGGTCGGGGGGGGGGGAGGTTGAACTTCTGACGCTACGTGGGTGCTCTCCCCCCAGTTTTCTCTTCTCCTTTTTTAGAATTAATATTTCACAAATTTGTAAAGGGTAGGGGGTGAGTAGCATCGACTGAAAAACAGTCGTCTTCACTCCCCTGCTACTGACGAAAAAAAAAGAAGAGGTGACACTTGCTTGAGGAGCACGGTCTCCGTTGGCCCCCGATCCGCCCTTGGACAAGTCAAGCCGGGTTAAACCAAATCAAGCCGAGTCAAGCCGAGTCAAGCCGAGTCAAGCCGGAAAAAGGAACAAGCAGAGCAGGGCAAAGAGCCGCACCGAGCCGAGCCCAGCTGAGTCCAGCCGAGCCGGCCTTGGGCAAGCCGAGCAAAAGACGAGCAAAGCCGATCAAAGTTTAAGACTAGCAGACGAGAGAAGTGAGGGATTTTTTTAAAATCCAGACTGTGACTTTGCTTAAACATGCAATTTATCCAACAAATGGTGCGGTTTTCAATTAAACACCTCAAAATGATGAAATGAGAGTTCTGGGCGTGCAATCTAAATTTAAAAAATTCACCATTTCCTAATTTTACGAAGGGTGTGTGAAAGGGTCAATTTGGTCATCCGACCCTATTTGTCAATGCCCTCGTTATCACGTGGATTGTGAAAGGTCTCGCTTGTAAACCAAAGGCATATATTGCTTTCCCCGGACAATTTAGCATGTCGACAAATTTGGATTGATTTTGACAAACATAATATGCAAAGACGGGACTTGGAGATAGCTGGCTTGACCCGCAGGCATCTTGTTTAAAAGAATAATACTCGTGTACTGTACAGGCTGAGATCAAATACACCGACAAGTATTGGCTATCTACTACATCAGTTTTCAAAATTCATGCCCCTAAAATCAGTCTTCGAAGATTCAAACTCGATATATATTTTTGTTCTGCCGCCGTATAACGCAGACAGGTCATAATATGTATAATCTGTTTTCATGAGAATTGCTGAGGTCATCAAATCAAAACAATAAGTACCAGACTGATTTAATCTCCAACATCTATATTTTTTTTTTTTTAAAGAACGTGGTTGTACGTAATTATATACAAAATTGAAATTCTAAATCGTTAATAGCGATCAAAACCCTTTCGCTTAAAGTGGTAAAAGGTAAAAAAAAAAATCCTCAAATTCTTATTTGAGTTCACAGTTGGCTAATTTGTTTTAAAACTGCGCTAAACCCAAAGCAGCAGAGTAGTAAAACATAATTTGAAACCACAACCAATTTGAAACCTAAAACCTGCAAACTGCAAAGACGACATCGTGGCGTTGGAGAGCACAATCTCCCTTGCAAAGCCACCGTTCACTTTGCCCTAATTACTTTCAAGTTTTTCTTCCGGTCTTCTCACCAACAAAGGAAGAGAAAAAAAAAACCACCCACAGTTGTGGTTAACTCTGCCACCAGCTGGGAACTAAAGTCTCGTTAATAACTCGGCTGACAAAGTGTGCCTTCAACTTGGTCAATATTTAGTTAGCATTAGCAGTAATTTCATCGTATCAAACACGCATGCGGTGGCACAATTACCTCACGCCCATTGCCTCCCCCCGCTCATATATTTAGCCCTCGGCAGTGCATCCGCTTTTTGTACCGTTCTTATACATCGTTGACGTCGCATGCGGCTATATAACACATCGACGTGCGCAATATACAACTAGTTTGGTGTCTCCGATAGCATTGTTGGATACACGACAAAACACCTGCAAACTTCAACACCGCCCGTTGAAATCGATTCATTTCCGTTCTACGCCATACTCTAGTACAAGCAAGCCAGTTTTTGGATTGTTCTCCTCTGTATTGGGACGATTTTGGCGGTTAACGAGTGGAGCAAAGCAGGCTTTTGTTCGGCCATTTCGGTGACGATGATGTTGAAATCTGTTTGGACGGTTCTGCTGTTGTTGGGAATTCTATATCAATGCGCAGCCAATCCAAGTAAGTTCAAATGATTTTTTTTTTTGGTGGCGAAATTGGTTTTTGTTCGACAAAACAGACGTAATCATGAGACTTTGCGTCCCTCATGAATGACGAAATTTAGAGATTGATCAGTTACGTTTTTTATTTGAAAAGATTCATTTTATCAAAAGTATTTTCGTTGACGTATTTTAACATGTGACTATACGCTTCTTGACTATATGCTTCACAAAAACCTAGCCCTCAAAGCGTCCTCTTTTTTTCACAGCTTTTAAGAAAATACATCGCAAATATCTCATGTTTAGAGAGTATAGTACATTAGCTTTTCAACAACGAAAAAATCTGTCCAATCGGGTAAATATTGATTGAGTTATGGCCAACTCAAAATTGGTGCCGATTTTTCAATCTGTCCACGATCTACATTGTCATTTGTTAGGAATGTAATGGATTTGGGATGAGGGTAGTTTTGCTTTCTTTAATATTTTAATCTCTCTTTATATATTTTGTTAATATTTTGGGGGCAACTATGGTCATTAATTCTTTAGAAGTTATAGTAGTCCTGAAAAGGACTGTTTATTTAATTTCTTAGATGTTTACTGTGCTGCTCTGTTCCTGCCCTCTACTTGATAGCCTTTTTTCCACAAATGCAAGTTTCGGTCCGTGTTCTTATTGCGACAGTCAAAGTATCAGTCGCCGTGGACAAAATGAAAAAGTGGTATACTTGGATTGGCCATAACGCAATAAATATTCACCCGATTGGAAAGATCTTTACGTTGTTGGAAAGCTAATGGATTGTACTGTCTAATTATGCATAAATATTTGCGATGTATTTTTTTTAAAGCTGTGAAAAAGAGGATGTTTCGAGGGTTTGGGTTTCTTGTAAGACACCCTGTATATCAGATTAAATTTTGCCAAAAGAAAATGCTGCAACATAGGGGCCTGTACGCATTCGTCTTTCCTGAATGTAGAGAATGCTTTCGTTTGATAACTCGCACAACCATGTTTTTAAAGTTACGGTTTTTTTCGCGGTTATAATTTTTGGACCAAGATTGCAGATCAGTGTGCTCATAAAATAATGCAGTTTAAGAAATAGTCCCATGTTTTTGTCGTTTTCTTAGCTCAGCCCCTATTTTTATTATTTCTCCCTTTATCATTGTTTTAGGAGCAGTTCTGTCAATGCACTGAATTGAAATATCATGACATTAATGCGACATTATATGTTTTTTCTTGTGCGTGGTTCTCATGGGCGTCGCCAGGATTTTTTTCTAGAGGGGGGCAAAACATATTTTCCCCCAAAAAATTCCTGTATTTCTCAACATCTTCTCGATTTATCAATTTTAGAGGGGGGCAGGGACATTTTGCCCCCCCCCCAACCCATTAAATTTACACCACTATGATTTCGCGCCTCTTTTTCTTTTCTTTTTTCTCTTTTTTTTATATTTTTGCTTTTCCGGGGGGGGGGGGGCAAGTGCCCCCCTTGCCCCCCCCCCCCTCGCGACACCCACGGTGGTTCTTGTGCGTAGTTGAAAATTGCAGCATTCGCAAGAAATGTAATATTGAGCATCGTTTTTCAGAGAAATAAGTGTTTGTGAAATTGTGACCAGCTGGGTAGTCGGGGGTGGGGGCGTGCGTTGGGGGGGGGGGGGGGACAACCCCATAAAACAAATCGTCGCCCACAGTCGCCTTTTACTGGAATTTCGCTAGTCCTAAAGGCGACCATGGTTAAAGGGTTTAGCAGAAATTGGGCGCCCGGGTGCCCCCTCTCCATTGTAACATCCAGGCCCCCACTGAGAACCCTGGCTATGCCGCTATTTGTAATTAATTGCTTGGGATGCCATCATTTCTTCCTCACTGCATTTAAAAACGTTCATATTTAATCACAATCCTGAATATTTTCAGAGACAATGAACCTTCTTTTCTACCTAATCGCAAAACCATTATTATGATGGTGGATGGATAACACGTTTTTTTTGGGAGGGGGGGGGGAACTGAGGAGATGGAATTGGGCACGGGCTGTAGAGGAGAAAAATGCAAAAAAACACACCTAAATGGGTGGATTGTTTTTGATTTTCACATTCACTGATATTTGTAACCTTTCACATGTCGACTACGTATATTTTAGAGGCCTTTGTCTCAGTAATTCACTTCTTTGACATGTCGATAAATACAAACTTTAAGTGGCCATGACTTGTCAACGGAATGTCCGATTGAAGTGCAACAAATAGTATTTTAAAGAGTACTTATTTTCTTCTTAATACCTGCAAACCCTATTTTTTTTATATTTCTGCTCAGTTCTGTCTCATTTTACCAGAATGCCTCACAATGTTGTTGTCGTTGTCGGGCTGGGAACCATTTAACATGAATCCCTAAACGCCGAAGAAATAATTTGGATTGCCGACTCCCTTTTTTTTTTTTCTTTTTACAAAAATGCATCTGGAGTTTCGAGGCAGTCTTTTCCAGCCCGGGATTTGGATGTAAAACAAATAAAGTGCGAATACAATTTCGGTGGCTTTGGTCATAAACGAGACAGAAACAATCCAAACAAAAACATGATGGGAAAAAGTAATTTAACCCAATTAAGCGCGCGATCCAGCAGAAACAATCCAAAATTGTTAGCGATTTTCAAGTTGTGGCAGGAGTTTCTTCAAGTCAATTGGGTGTCGGTCGGTCGGTCGCCAAAAACTTCCCAAAAATTATTTTACCAAAATTGTGCAAATGCTATGCGGTCGGTAGTAAATGCACTCTACAATTTGTTTGTAACAATTCGTAAAGCTGTTTATGAAAATTGTGTAAACTAAGGCAAGATATGGGCAGTAATGTTATAGTCACGTGGCATTTTCTGTAGTGGTTGGACGGTATACCAAAGGAGGAAATGAAAATTAAACTGAGCTTTCATCTTTCTGGCTTCTTTGCAGAAACCTGTGGAGTAGGACTCACAGTCAAAGAATGCCTGAGAATCTTAGCTGAACCAGGTAAGTTTGATGTGATATGTTTTTCTTCAGAGTGACATAATAGTTTATTTGCCAAACTTAATATTCTGAAACAGGTGAAATAATAGTTAATTTGCAAAACTTGATATTCTGAATCTGAATGATCTCTACCACCACCGACTGGGTATACTCATGCTTAAATATAATACTCACAACATGCTCCCTCAAATTTTTAATAATCTATTCTCACTTTGTCTGTTCATTCATACTAAACTCGTAGTTCCTCGAAAGGTGATCTATTTGTGAGACAAAATAGAACATCCTTGGTTTTGTTTAAAAGAGTGTACTACTTTGGTTTCATTTGCCAAAAAAAATGAAAAAAAAATCGATCATCCGAACTTGTACTTGAACATTATCTTTTCTGATTTGCTTAGTCATTATTTTACATATTGTACCGGGTCTCACTTTTAAAACTATTGTCCTGTCTTCGTCCGTGTGAAGTTTTATCCTGTCCCAGGAAAATGTACAAAAGTAATCACCCTTTTCCTTCATGTTGACATCGTTTAATGTTGAAACTCAATTACATATCGTCTGTGAAGAATGTTTTGTATACATGTATTTTTTTTCTTTATGCATAACAGAATTGTCACTGAGGATGTCAATGTGAAAATAAATGGCGAATTGATAATAATTCCATTCGGAAAAAGAAATTGCAGAAAGTTGACAGAACCTTTGCAGAAATCAGAACATAATGATGATGAACTTCGAAGTTTATTTTTCCCCGGCATTTTATACAAATAACAATAATATAACCGGAAAAAAATTACGATCAGGGAGATCGACATTCACATAGACTTTTGCACACATGTGTTTCCAACTTTAATTGTTAACTAACCACAATTTTACTTTATCCTACCCCCACGAACTTTGGCATTTTTTACTAATTGGACCACGAGCAACCGAACTTGCCTATTTGCGACATTAACATTTTGCCAATAAATAGGAGCTGATGCATTAGGGAGACAATGAAATGTCTCCCTAATTCCACATGTTTCCCAACGGTATACTTCCCGCGCTAAAGTGTCTCCCAAATGGTATAAAGATGGTATTAATAATTATAATAATTATTTGATTATTTAACAAAAGCTTTCCATGTCACAATGACATCACAAAGCGCTGTGCATAAAAAAATCCACAAATTCTTAAGAAACAGTCATAAAGCAAAAACAATTAAATACTAGAGGTTTGCGTTTGTTGAGTTACAAACGCAGAGTGGTCGGGCTGGCATATTTTCTGTGTTTACAATGACTTAATCATAATTGAACTGCACAATACTCCTCCAATTACCCTGCATATCCATTACCCTGTGTTTTTCACAATGAAAGTCACACAACCTGCAGTTTAACTTGTTGCTTTACCTCGACAAGACTTGTAGGTCTATCCGGAAGCGCACATCTGGTGCTGCATGGATGGCTACTCAAGCATTACAACCAGTTAGGACTATTGGTAGACTTGCCGGAGCCTCAACCGTCGTTGGAGTTTATGCAACATATGCTAATCATATCATAACATGGCTTTTATGGGTTTTTTTCTTTTGCATGGGCATAATAAAATTCTGCACTGACTTTACGACAGAAACGTTTGTGGCTACACGCTGTGGAAATATTAATTTTCAGCATTCAGATATGTGAGGAAAACTGGTGAGGCGCGATTTCAATCGGTTATGGAAAGAAATCTTGTTTTCCTTTTATTTGACGCTAATTTCTATATTTTGAATTCACCTAACTTTGACCTTCCGGCAGCCCCGGAAGGAAAGGTCAAACGACCTTGACTTTCGGATGATGACGCCATCACATTGTTTTTGTGTCTGGCATTCCTCACTAAACACTTTCATAATATATGTGTCTGTGGTAAAATGCTTCCGCTTTTGAGCTATATTCAGTTTTTATTGCACTTCCGGTAACACCGGAAGTAAAGGTCAAGCAGTTTTGTGTCTGGGGGACAAGAAATGTTCCTCACGGCATAGTCTACAACCCCACGAAAAAACAAACACGATACTCTATTTAGTTCAAAAGATATACGCAAACTATTTTGTCAAGATTTGCCCTTAAATCGCTTGTAATTTGATACCTGATAACGTCATGATGACGTAACAAAATTTATAACATCTTCGTAACATGGTACAAGTTCACACAAGGTTTTGTGATCATACCGTGAACCGTTCGGAAGAAATGCTGCTTTGTTTTGATGTCAGGCTCACGTCTTCATTTTGAATTCACCTAACTTTGACCTTCCGGTAGACCCGGAAGTAAAGGTCAAGCGAGTTCACGTACGCGACAAAAACTGTTTAGCGATTAATGGTCTATCTGATGACAGAATACAAACATCATTGATTGTTTAGTTCAAGAGTTATAGGTGAAAGTAATTGGTCACTTTTTCAGATAAAATCACTTGTAATTTGACACCTGATGACGTAATCATGACGTCAGAGTAATATGCACCACTTCGGATGAGGGGCGATATATATTGAAAGTTACAAGTTCATACCATATACCGTTTAAGAGAAAACCCGCGGAGAAGTATTGTCCGGAAAAAAAAAGAAAGAAAGAAAGAAAGAAAGAAAGATTAATCGTAACAGATCCAAAGAGTGGTCGGGTTGTGCCCGACCACTCAAAAACGTTTTGGTGGATGTATGTGTGTGTGCACTGGTTGAGTGGATTACCAATATGATGAGTGTTCGCTTCATGCACATTTCACTTTGGCGTACTAAAAGTTAGTCTCTTGCTCGTGTGGTGCGAGAGTGCGACACATTGTATTAAAAATAATAGTATAAGTTTCCCCGGCTATTTTAAAACGTTCATCATTCAAATTCACCGATTCTAATATTCAAATTCGTCCAAGATATAATTTCAGACGCTTTGGGCAAAATCAATTTAGTCGTGTATTCTGCAGTTTCAAAGTGTAAAGGTGCAAACGACTACATACAACGCTCCGGCATGTTCAAAACTTTGAGTGGTCGATTGATAATCCAGCGATCGATTGATTAATTAAATTTGCTTTTAAATTTTTAATCGGGAAAATAGTTTGTTGCATTTTCGAATACAGTACACGCCACTGGTTCCAAAATGGATCAAGACAGAAATGTTAGACAGATCACCATACATTACCCTGCCAATAAGCGTTTTCTGTGGCATTGAGAAAAGCCCAGAAATATTGTTAAGCATATGACTGTCACACATTATCGATTCTCATTATCAATAATTATCATTCTTTATTATAACTACATCCAACTATTTTGTTAGTTCAAAATTATTATGAATACTTGATATGACTTAAAACAGCATACAGGTCAAACCGAAAAACATGTAATAAAGAGCTAAAACAAAGGTGACGCACATGTAACTAAACAGTGACCAAAATCCACGCACACACAACTCAAAGCTGCAGAAGTCAAATTATAAAACGGTTTTATTAAAACAAATTTTCCAAAGTCATGAATTATATGCTCCATAATTTTTGAAAGGATGACCTGTGGGAAAACTTATGTGTGGTTCCTTATTTTACAATTCACAACAGAGAACGTTTTATTACGCAGGAAAGATAAGTCCAGTGTCATATGAAATTCGGACTCTTGTGGAATCTGGTCTCTTTTACCTAATATATGGACTCTAACCCTAACACGTGACCTTCCACTGTCCTAATTACCTTCACATAGGCATGCGCAATACAGCAAACGAGTTCGTATTTCCTATGAGTCCAAATTTCACACGACACCGGCATTTACTTGAACAGGATCATCCCGTACTTAATGACAATGGCTTCCCTGTTGTTTTAATTTTTGGTACGGTACAGGGAAGAGAGCATCACCAGAGCAGTCGTTTAATCCCCGCCTGGCTCCCAATCTCGACTGGCTTGGGGTGAGTTGCTATTTGTTTGTCTTTTGGGATCAAGGCAGTGCGAAAAGCTGTGGATGTGAAGTATACCTTAGGAACGAGGTTAGGACTGCTAGACCTGTCCACACGGGCGCGTGTTATGTAAATGAAGTTGACCACGAGTTCACATTGTAGTTTTCCAGCCATCGACCGCCCTGACACGTCTCTGAATCTTTGGGATCGAGGCAATTAATGCTTAGACTCATTCCAAAGGCTACATTCAGAATGAGATCCAAGATGGCGGCAGGGACGGCTGTGAAATTCCAGCAAGCAAAACAAAACTGCGCCTTGAAACCTGAACTTCATTCAGTTTTCCGATCTGTAGGCCTAATTCATCTTGAAAACTCCTATCAGCTAGTCGCTTGAATGAACTCCTTCAATCAGTGGATTCCATAGATAAAAACCCCTGGTGATGAAAGAAGGCAGGGATGCACGTAAAGGCGTATCAGCTCACCTTAGTTTATTTGATATCGCGGGCCAATATTGGGTGTACCCGAGCATGCATTGCCCCTAGTGTCGCAGTTTGTGGAGTAATCGATAGTCAAAAACTCCACCGCTTCTTGCCACTAGCGACTCACTCGTACCTGATTGGAAAGTTTTCCAGTCCTTACACAATACAAATACACTATAAGTGCTGCTTGAAATGGAGAACTCCGATCACCAAGACAAAACAGGTTGCTTGGATACGCCAATCAAGGATCCGGACAATAATTGTCGAATTTCTTTTTGTGTTTTGGTGATTTTATTTGGAGGCTCGATAATGCAAGTCACGGCTTTCAGCGATGCACGCAGAACGGAAATTGAACGAATTAACTACTCCATTTGATATGAGCGAATATCGGCCTTACCGCATCTGGTGTTCGCCGACAACGTGGGCTCGCTTATTATGTTCATTCATTTTTCATACATCTGTGCCTGAAGGATTGTTGCAGACCTAAAACAGATCATTATAACAAACTATGTTTTTTTCTGCAATATACAGGGTTCTTATAGGCCTATATACGGAAGGGCAAAAATGCAAAAACTATAACAAAATGGTTGTATCTTAACAATTTAAGTTTCAAGACAAAGTCCGGACGACTCGCTCCATTGCAACTTTCCAGTCTCTTTCAGAGGCGGATCTAGCCTTCGGGAAAGGGGGGGGTATTAAGGGGGAGGGGTCTCATGCGTGCCAGGTGGGTCCTGCTAGGGTGGTCCGGACATCCCCCCTGAAAAGTTTGAAATCTTTGATGATTTGTCCTGCATTCTCTGCATTTTCTCTCCATAGTCCTTTTGCCACCCACAATAAACATTTTTTAATCATGTTTCAGAGCACGGAAAAGGCGAATGAACCGACGTGCAAACTCAAGGATATCTACACAATGATCCCCGACGATTGCCAGGCGGAACTACTGCAGGTAAGACGGAACAAAATATTTGCCATGTGAAACTTGCCTATCTATAAAAAGCCTGCTAGAAGTGGACTTCATGAACAATCATCATTTGCAATTAAATGAATCAAACCAAAGAAGATAAACTGTTATGCAACATCCATCACACCTTTTGTTACCTTTTTTATTAACACGTCCGCTCTTTCAACCATTTACTGGGTCACCTGAGATTGCAATTAAATACCCCCCCCCCAAAAAAAAAACCTGTTTTACAACATGTATGCATGACCATGATCATCCCTTGTGCTAAATTTGTTTGTGAACACGTCTGCTCTTTTAACCATTTTACTCGAGAGTTCTCAGAATGTTTACGTATGTACATGGTGTCTCACAAAAAACGAACCCCCTAAGCCCCCTCTTTTTCACAGCATTAAAAAAAGACATTGCAAATATCGATACACTTTGAGAGAGTATATTTCATTAGCGTTTTAACACCGAAAAAATCTTTCCAATCGGATAAATGCTTCTTGAATTATGACCAATTGAATACAAGTACTGCATTTTCATTTTGTCCTCGGCGACTGATATTTTGACTGCCGCAATAAGAACACGGTCCGAAACTTGCATTTGTTAAAAAAAGGCTACCAAGTCAGAGCAGCACAGTAAACATCTAAGGCGTTATACCAAACAGTCCTTTTCAGGACTACCATTACTTCAAAAGGATTAATGACCATTGCTTCAAAAAAATAAAAAAGAATCAAAGAAAGAAAGCATTAAAGCATTAAAGAAAGCAAAACTACCCTCACCCCAAATGATAATGATAATAATAATACCGGAGTCATATATAGCGCAGGTATCTACTAACAATTAGGTACCCAAGGCGCTGGAAATTATGTCTACTATTAAAGACAGGTAAATGAAGTTTATAAGAAATATGAGACTCATTATGTAGCACCTTATAAGGGTTTACAAGGTGCTGCGGCGCATATTGCAGCCACTGCCAGAAACACCGGGGCAAACCCTTTCTCTTAGCGATAAGTGTTACTGGGTTCTTTTACGTGCATTACACAGCACACGGGACCCACGGCTTTACGTCCGAAGGACGAAGCAATAATGCCAAAGTGCCTTGCCCAAGAGCACAAGCACCATGTTCCCACGGTCAGGATTCGAACCCACGTACCACGATACACGAGTCGAACACCGTAACCATTGGACCACAGCACTACGATCCATTACATTCCTAACAAATGACAATAATTGAAACGTGGACAGATTGAAAAATCGGCACTTATTTTGAATTGGCAATAACTCAATAAATTTTTGCCCGATCAGAAAGAATTTTTTTTCGTTGTTGAAAAGCTAAGGCCAAAAAAAAAAAGTCTCCGGTTTCTGGTATGCGCGCGCGTCGCCGCAGCCATGCGCGTCTTCAAAATGAAAAAAGTTTTTTTTTCAATGAAAGATGATGTCTCAAAACCGCCAAACTCACTGGTTTGACTGGAATCCTGCTGCTGCACAATTTTAACGTGTTTTTAGATGGGGTTATGATCGAGAATAAGCTTTATGTGGCCTCTCTGGACTCCCATATATTTGCACTAAGTCTAGTCGGGGACCATTTGCAGTCATCAGCCTACATTTTGTGGCAAAAAAATCAGGTAAAAAAAAAAAGCCGCGTCGCCGCACCCCTTTTTGGGCAAGCTCCATACCAGAAACCGGAGACTTATTTTTTTTGGCCTAATGAAATATACTCTGTGAAAAAAAGGGGCTTTGATGGTTCAGTGTTTTGTGAGACACCTGGACTATTATACACCGACGGGGGCCCACTTCAACGGCAGATGCAATGTCCCAACAGTTGTACAAAGCAACTGCCCCACGACAGATTGTCTGAACAATAGCTAGCACAATGCTTTCGCCATTGTAGGGGGCCTCTGTGAAGACATTGCCATTACAAGGCTGAAACATAGAGCAAGGAACTGAAACCACAATGTGTCCATCCTGATCCATCACTGATGGTTCAGGGATGGAGAGACTATCAAGGGTTCATGTTTCGCCGCACGCTGTCAAAATGTCTACCAATTATCAAAATCAGAAACTAAATCTATATTCGTTTTGTAGCCCGTTGTCATCCGACTCTTTTCAATCGGATAACTGTTATACGCGGTTAATATATTAAAAGAACATTATCAGCTCGAGTTTCAATTTCATTTCAAAAGCCAGAAATCATGCTGCATCAAGGCCCCCTTCCCCGTTGCCCCCCACCCCTGGATCAGCCGTTGGGCTGTATGCTCAAACACGAATAAAATATAGCGCTTATACTAATGTTGCAAAATACGATACTTTTGTGTTCTATATAAAGACCTGCCGCAGAGCACGACTGAAAATGCTTTTCAATTGGGAAACGATAATGGACCGAAAAAAAAATGCAACCTCAGAAAACGGATTAGGCCTACCTTTTGGTTATAAAAGGCTATTCGAAAATTGAAAATGGGATTGACTGGCTTTCAAACTGTTTATTCCTTTCCCTTCGTACTTGCGCAAGGGGGGGGGGGGAGGTTTAATGAGTTTCTAACAAGCGCAGTAATTTGCCTTTCCCGAATTCTGGGGGGGGGGGGGGGGGCAAGGGCGGATCCAGGAGGGGGGGGGCTTTGGCCCCCCCCAAAAAAAAACCCGAATCAATTTGTTTTTAGGTGACTGCGCAATAAAGGTAGGCAACGAGTACACCACCATCTTTTTCTCAAAACGTTGGTTAAAGTGGTCAGAAATTGCTCCAGATCGCACCACAGAGCATGTGGAATCCCAAAAAAATTCGGGGCCTTAAGCGGGCCCCGAACCCGACCCCACGGCCTTTTTTGGACACACTTTTTGGGGACCAATTTGTTTTGGGCCCCCAAAAAAATTGTACTCTGGATCCGCCCTTTGGGGGAGGGGGAGAGGGAGAGGGGGAACATGCCTCAAGCGCCCAATTCCCCACTTACGTTCAGATTTCAGCTCTACACCTTCTCTTTGTAGACAAGAAGAATCGAATTAATTTATCTTTTAGTTCAGTTTAGTTAATAATTGAATGCTATTTTCTATCTGGGGTTGGGGCATGCCTCCCCCCGTCTGCCCAGACCCAGCCCCTCCCAGTCCTAGATTCGCCAGTCGGTTTATTTCGGGGGGAAATGGTGATAGTTATTATTGGTGCCTTTGTGTTGGCTGATTGTGTACTCTCGTGCATTGACGCCACATTACAGAGACGCACAATTAGTTTGAAACGCAAGCCTCATTAAAAATGGACAATGAATTCTTTTCAACGTGGCTTTGTGGTGACAGGTGTAATACAACACATAATACCGACAACTTGAGATGAAATTGATATAGTTATGCCCCATTAAACTTACTAATGGCTTTGCGCGGTGGGTTTGCGCGGTCATTAGATAATGGACGTTTTAATAGTTTCTTCGCGTGCAGCAAATTGCCGAATTGGATGAATTTGTTGTGGGTGTAAAATATTTCATGAAGACAATTTATAGCATCCTGGATATTGTTTTGATGTTTTTTTTTGTCTGACGCATTTTGACACTCTCGTGAATAAAACATTTTTTGGTTTTGATAACGTTGTATTAAATGTAGGGTAGATCATTTGTCATTTGTGCATTTTTTTTCGTTCTAAGCAACAAAAGTGTTCAAAATCTAAAGACGAGTGCTCAACAACTAACCTGATGAAGTTTTAGCTCTGTTACTGCTGTGTATTCCGAGAAAACAGTATTCTAACATCTCGATTTCAATTAAGAAGTTGCCGAGTCATGTTTTGAATTGCGCCCGAAATCAGCATCCGGGACACGTTCTCATTCAGTCGATTGCAGCCGATCCGACGAAAAATCATTTAAAAAAATCCCCGCAGTGTGCGTCGTGTCAACGCTTGCATGCGAGCATCCATTCACAGATTTGCCGAATTACAAACCAACTCTTAACGGAAATTTTCAAAAATGCGTCACTTGACGCATGTTTGGAAATGGACTTCTTTTATTGTTTTCTTCAAAATGACAGCATGTCAGAAAGAATAACTTCACAGGGAGTTTATTGCCACCCTCATCTTTAAACCAAGTATTAAAGTTATCAACAATATTTTCGTCAGTTACTTTTTGAATAGCTACAAATGATTGGCACTATTCGTTACGTATGTAAGCGATATACGCAAATTGCTTCAGCTCGGAAAGGTGTTTTTCTTAGAATGGTATGTTTCCAAGAGGGTTTCGAGTTGAGGGATCGTGTCTTTCCCAGTAATATCCAAATCTTATCCTTTATGTCCATTCACAGGTCCTGCACTTTTTCGTAACACATTCCGACTACTGAGATGGAAGGACGAACGAACAGACTACCACTGACTCAAGCTACGACCATCTTTCAGTCTAAGTTCTTTCTTTTTCTTGAGACAAAACGAACTTGGTATTTGGCCAATCGAACTAGAACATGACGATCAATTTGGAAAGTCTTTAGATATCCAAACTCTTTTTTTGGTTATATTTGAAAACAACAATCAACAAATCGAACTATATTGAATGTTTACAATTTCAATGTCTACTTTTTTCATGCGAGATAAAACGATCAGGCCAATGTATGCCAAGTAACTTTTGTTAGCTTATTTCGGCGACTCGCATATTTTTTTTTATACTCATTTCCTTAAAACATTTGATCTTGTCATTTTTAAACTTCTGTAACAGTAGAGTTGTTATAACAACAACCTGAAATGATACATGTTTTCATTTCGTTTGAAAATTCTAAAACTTGCCTTATTAATGTCGATACAAAATTAAGGCCACATTTACAATGACAACCATTCCTACCTTGTATTTTCAGATCAGTACAGGGTTTGGTAACCAAAAACACGATGACGACTTTAGAGTAATTATAGATGAAAAACATCATTGGTTAAAGACCGTAAAAAAATCATTATGAAGAAAGGTAGTATGTCAGAGCGTAAACTTATAACAAGAGTATGCTAAAAGTTACTTTGGTCAGTGGGGAAAATATTAATTTTGTGCTGTTTCGAACTTTTGATTTACTGTGTAATGCAGAGTAGTTCAAGTTAACTTTCATGTGATGATACCAACAACTGACTCCATTTTGTTCAGTTCCGACCAACAGAGAACCGGGGTGGGGGGGGGGGGGAGGGGGAAATGCCAGAAATATTCTGGACGGCGGAGCATTTTGAATATTGGGTTCGATTGCTCACACATGGGTTTGATATGGAGTGCCTGTAAAAACGTTACTAACATGAGACTTTTTCAATCGCTTGATCTTAGTGAGATAGTGTCACTCCTTTTAAAAACTCAGACATGAGTAACCCGTACGAGGACGTATTGATTTAAACCAAGGATCTCCAATGATTTTCATGTTGTTTGGATCCCCGGGCATGCGTAATCCATGTGCGCACAACGAGCTGAATTGTGGCCAAATACAAATGCGTATATCCTAGTCTTTTTATCGTTATTCTGCTGGTTATTTATGTCTGATTTCAATAATTAAAAAAATAAAAAATCACGACTTCGACCGAACGCTATAGACTACAGAAACATTGCTTCAAAATAGTTTAATATCACAATAACTAAATCTTAATAAACCGCAAGGTGTGGGGAAAAACAGAAGTGCTTTAAATGTTTTAGTCCATAACGAAAGCTTCAAATTAATATATAGTTTTAAATTTTTAACCATGCAGCAAAGACGCGAGTTTTTTTCTTCTCCCGATGCATGTACAATCTATACAAACCTGGCAATGGACACCAAACATAATTATTTTTGTTCAGGGCTTTAGATCTAAAAGCGTAGTTGTAAAATACAGGTTGAGTAAAACAAAAAACCCAAAAAACAAAGGTCGGGACTATTGTTTATTTAAGTTCTGCATGTAGCACTTTCAAAATATAGGATATGGAAGCCCAATTCGTACGCTTTCTTTTAGTATAAGAATCATTCAAATCACTTATGCACTTTTTAAGTTACGGAATTTTAAACACAACCACCGTTTTAAGGTAGTGTCCACGGATCACAACAAAGTTCAGTGTTCTTTCAGCAAAACGACAACAAATCACATAGGGATGTGTGTGAATTGTTGTTTTCGTCTTGGTGAAAGAACGCACACCTTTTTTGTGATCCGTGGACAGAACCTTAAAACGGTGGTTATGTTTAAAATTCTGTAACTTAAAAAGTACATGAGTGATTTAAATGATTCTTGTACTAAAAAAAGCTTATGAATTGGGCTTTTATATCCTAGATTTTGAAAATGCTACATGCAGAACTCACCCTGTATAAGATAACTATATACCCTCAAGTGCACTTGGTGCATGTTATGGCTATTTTGTGCAGTGAATACTGGTGCTTTTACTGTTCATGTTGACTTTCAAGAATTGTGTTTGGTTATAGGGGTTCCTCTGTTTCGTGTTGTGTTCTATACTTGTGCACAAACCATTGGTAAATTTGTTGGCGATTTCATTAAATTAAAGTTCTTTCTTTGCACCAAACCTGTTGGCTTCTTGTCGTTTGATTATCGGAGGAATTTTCCAAGAGTTTGTAATCTAGTCGAGCCGTCGAGAAAGGTCACAGCCGTCACAAGGGTCAGAAAGAATGTCATGGGTAACATGAGTAACGACAAAGGATCGCCTTTGACAAATTTCATTGCAACAGTTTTGTTTAAACTCGACGAGATTGGATGGCATTAGATTGACTTACGATGACTTGAATACAATTTCTGTTATTTGCATTACCTCAGTACTGCTTCGCAGCATACGCAAAAAAAAAATAACCTGCTCAAGGCCGGTTTATACTTCATGCGAATGCGAATGCGTAGTCTGGTTCCCTGTCCCAATTGTTCTTCGGACTTCAAATATGGGGACAGGTAGCTAGCAGTGAATCCTGAATATATTAGAAGGCTGCCCTCCTAATGTATGCAAATTATATGCAGGACGTGAATAGGTCTGAATCTCGCCTCCTGAATTCAAAATCACAACGGTAATGTTTGCGCGCAACCAGCATATTGCAAAATGGCAATAGGCCACGAATGTGCAATTTCGGAGGCGATGAACTTCGATTTTTGCAGAATTCGAAAGTGTCTCTGGCAAATATCAATAAAGAGAGGGACGTTACTGTTCAGTATTTAAAACCTATGCAGTTGAAATTGGCCGGAGTTGATATTATGCGTTCAACTTTTGCGAATAGAGCGTGAAACTTCACCCCTGCTGGCGCGCTTCCGGAACCCTTGAATATAAACATTAACGTGCAAAAAGTCTAACATTTGCAATTAGGATATTTTTGGTACATTGGTTTCTTGAGAAATCACCCTATAAAAAGGCCTTTGTAAAATTGTTACTAGCATCTCAATTTATGGAAACTGCAAAAATCGCCTGACGTGAAAGAGGAATATCGGGCCAAATATCGACCTCTCACTTCCGGAAATCTAATATACATGTGGACTACTAGCATTTACACAATAATATATAAAATGACCGCTGATAAAGACAGGATTCAAGCCAGCCCGACTACATCTACAACCCATCGGCTGTAGGTACGGTAGGTTAATCTTCGCTTCGTTACATTTTCGTTCTCACGCAAGGAGGCCAATACGCGATGTGAAAACAAACGTTTTCACAACGAAAATGCCGGATGCGAAAGGTCGTAAGAAAAATTCGTTTTACCCATCTCTGAGTGATTTCTCATCATACCTTTCTCGAGGAATACCAAAATAAAATTCCAACATGAATGTTTCTTGGGGTGATTACGGTGAAAAATCATTCCTTCAAAAATTATAGCCAAAAAAAAGGCAACCTATAGTGTAAAATGTCTATGCATAATAGCGGGTCGCGCCAGGCGTCCGGAAGCTCGCCGCGTGGCCTTTAACTTTCAGGCTGCATTCGCAGCACGATAACTTGCCCTGAAAGCACAAACTCGCGTTCGCCTTTCCGAGGATGAACCAGCCGGTAATACTCCGCAGAGGAACTTGACCGGGCAGGTGCTCAGCCTTACTACCTGCCGTTAATTGATCGACAGTGTAACTGCTTTGCAACTGGAATTAAATCAAGTAAGTGACATAACTATGTTGCTTTCTTTGTCAATGGAGGCTCAAACTCCACAATTAAACACTTCCTGTCAGGAAATTCATTGCACGAAAAGGTTCCAGCTTTTTTTTTTTCTACAGGGAGGCCTTTACAGACAAACTATTTAGAATGTCGCGGTCAGATTTGTGTATGTTTGGAAATTCGGGGAAAATGAAGAATTTTTAGATTTTTTTTTAATCCCTGGGTTCTGAGTATTAATTTGGGGGGGGGGGGGGGCTGGGCGGGGCTATATAGCCTACCCTCTCTCCTGGCACCTTCTTCGACATGCACATACACTTGCTGTGATAAACGAGACATCAAGAAACCCCTCCCCCCCAAAAAAAAAAAAAAATAAGAAAGAAATGAGATGATTGCAATGGACAAAGTAACAATAATATACAAGGCTCATCAACCAATCTTCAAGAGATTAATCTGAGTTTGAAGGAAGTGAGCAATAGAAATAGGAAATTGAAATTTATATACCGGATCAAAACAAAATTATTGTCGTATGCCAAAGTGGCTAAATCAACATATCATTTTTTCTGTGTTTTCTTTCGTCCCCTGCTATATAAAATAGTGACAGTGATGTATGAACATGCTTCATCATGCATTATTGATGAGGATTGAGCGGTGTCACAAACGAATTAAGTGATTTGTTCATGGAGGGGGGGGGGGGGTGGAGGAATCGCCTCAAGAGGGATACAGGCAGGGATGAATCTTGATGGATGGAGGCAAATCGTTGGACACTGGCAGGGTGAGGATTCGACAAATATACTCCAAAACAAGAGGGGAAAAAACCTGCGAAATATCAACATAACATGAACAGTAACAGCATAAAAGATGTACGGTACGTATTTTTGTTTCAACTTACCAACAAACGATTTTTTTGACTCGCTAATTTTCTAGTAATTCAAAAGTTCGTCACTTTTGGATGCGATATTGAGCAGAAAAAAAACAGCCGAGGTTGAAATAATTACTTTCTTTGGTATAATTTGTGCCTTTTGGGAGTCAAAGCAACCAGACCTTAAAAAAAGGGGGAAATTCACCAAAAGGAAAGGAACCAAATGGTTGTAGAACACGGACAGTATCTCTTTTTCTTTTAACAACAAAGAGGGACTTCACTTGAACAACCAAAGTTTCTTCCAAGCATTATTTTAATTCTCTACTCTTCTTTGTCGAATATACATGATTTAAATGTGTTCAACTACTGTTATAAGGCCTCTGACAATTCCAACAAATTCATGGCTTTGTCTACGCGAGTGATTCACTTGTTATACAATAATGTTTGGTAAATTTTAGAATTAAATTCACAGTTTTACTTTATGTGCGTACTAAGGTCAGTGTCAATGCTAAGTGATAATCACAAACTATGAGATTAAAAAAATCAACATTCGAATCAAGTACGTAAAGAAACTGTCGAGGTGCATGATAGTAAATAAAACAGTTGTACTAAGAAATTGACTGGAGCGGGGTTCGAACCTGCGACCTCGGGATACACCGTGCCGGTAACATTGGGCTGGATAGTTCAGTCGGTAGAGCACCGCGTTATGTTCCGGGGCCGGGCTCGCAGGTTCAAACCCAGCTCCAGTCAATTTCTTTGTAGCCGATTTCAAGGAGGCTGTGACTATGCAGTTTTTTTATGCAGAAGTTCAAACATTCCAGTGGACATTTTGGGAATGATGTCTCTCAATCTAGACCATTTCTTATGTACATACGGTTATCACAATGGCACCATATTCAACAACGCATTCAATCGCACACTCGCTACCACTCACAGATTCACTTACTCTCAAATTTGTATCCTTGTGGAGACATTTCTTTGTTGTGGAGACATTTCTTTGTTCTCGTGTAGTAAAGTTTTCAATTTTGAAAGTGAAGTTTCAAAATGCTCTTATTTTAACCAGAATTAATTTCCTTGGCTGAAATTTGGACTTAATATCCCTTTTCTAAAACTCTTCCATTTGCGACGGATCAACCCACCTTGGAAATTCCTAGTTTTTGAGTAAAATCCATATCTATTTCGTGAAAACCTTGTGGAGACCTATTCATCTATAGAAATTGCCTTGTGGAGACCTTTACAATGTTTTGTTCCCTATTGTGTGCGTGTCTCCACAAGGATACAAATTTGAGCACACATTCGGCACAACACCACTGACCTCTATGCGAAATGCAGTGGCTGCTGCACGCTAATTAGCAAATGCGCCATCTTGGATCCTCAAAACGTCAAACCGAGACATGTACATCGTTCTGCCGTTAAGGATTTTTTACTTAGACAACGATTCCCCTTATTTTTCCTGTGATGTTAGCCAGTCTCAAGAATGCAATTCTTATTTTTGCCGCCCTAACTGTGATGTCTTAACTACCCGTAAAAGAACTTTCGCGGATTAGCGAGGAATTGTCGCTTATGCGCATGCGTACATCCCGTAACTAAGGATTCTGTGCTTACATGGTTAACACATAAGTTTTCATGCTAGAAGCAGTTAGCACAAAATGGTGATCGTAAGCACGGAATTCTGTGGTTAGCAGATAATAAGAACAATGAAAGGTCACGTGTGAGGATTAGAGTCCATATAAGATTCCCCCCCGCCGAGTTCATAGGAGTAAAAAAAAATCATATTGTATTCTGGGGCTAATAAGGGACAGAGATCGCCTCGGAGGGTTATTACAAGTTTCGGTTTGTTGGCAAGGTGCCAAAGATCTTCGTCATTGACTGGACTATGTGCCATATACGTTGAGTCGATCGTTAATTTGAAAAAAAAAATTATATATATAACAAATTCTCGACAACTTCATTAATGCGAAACCGGCACGAATTAATACCGTCAAAACTCTAATTGGTCATAGGGGAAGATGGCCAAATACAATCTGCATCAACACCATGCTAACACCTTTGCCGCGGACACCACACGTTCTCCACCATCATTAACATAATTATGGGCCAGTCTATCAAGGGATATGTATAAAAGTGATGGACCACATCTGCCAAAACTGTGTTTCTACCAATTCAAGGAACAACAATACAATAAATCTGAAGCAGGTTTATTATAATAAAACAGAACTAACCTGTGTAGAAATTTCAGCTCAGTAGATATAATTTTTGAGAAAACTGTCAAAATGCATCTTCATTTTCCTCGATCGACACAAAAGCATGGGTTCCCATTGAAAGTGCAATAGCCTGGTCCTTACCATCGTGAGGAAGAGATGATAATTTCTCTTTTCTTAAAAATGACAGCATATTAGAGGCAACGATTTCACTAGATGCTTGATACTATTATTTACTAACAATCAAGTAGGATATTTCATGATATTTTGACAGTTTCATTTTGATATGACACTTGCAAAATGATGTCCATTACTTTTAATAAATTCCCGTGAAGATAATAATACGTTTAAATGTGAATTAAGACGTTAAATGGTACTGAACGATCTTGCTTCACAAAAAAGGTTCATGTATCATATTTCGGAACTAAAAGCATACTGATATCTTCAACTACGATAAACACACAGACTTTAAGGCGCGTGTTTCACATTAATTTAATAATAGAACCAACAAATATTTACATAAATAGCCTTTTTGAAATATGTACATTAAAGCCCGCTTTTGTGCAAATTAATTTAATTATTCAATAACTGTTTAAGTTTCACTACAGGTTTTTTGACTTCTTTTATGACGGAGTAAATTTCAATAGTACTCGTCTTCCTAGGAGGAAAAGTGGATAGCTTTATTCGTAAAGAATGTTCTACTCTGCTTGCGAAATAACTGCTCTGTTATGATTTTGTATGACTGAAATTATGTAAGCCAGCAATACCGCAGGAAAATATATATTGACAAATATCTGAGAAATAGTAAGAAAAATCATTGACAAAAAGATATCAACTCAATGTTCTTATTGTAACACCCAATAATTTTCCTTTTGACTTCACTGATAAAGATTCAAAGGGCTAAAAATTAACATAATCAGGAAAAAGCAATAATTTTTTTTAGTCGTTAATTTCCAAGTGTTCGAGATTTTTTTTTTACCTTGTTTAGTACTATTGAGGACGATATTGAATAATAATTCATTACTCATAAAAATAATGTTTGAATTCCTTCTGGTCGAACCAATCAGGTTGTAGCCAAGGTCCTTAACGTCACTGACGTCACTGTGTACGGTGCTCCTCAGAGGCCAAACGAGCCGTCGTCAACTTCCTTCCCCTTGGTTTCCATCAGGGCGCCCTCTAACACCTACAGGGGGGGGGGGAAAGAAGAATAAAACCAAGGAAATAAAATGTACAAGCATTTCAATGAGAAACGCTCTGTGAGTGAGGTGTGGCCATAAACGGACAAAGCACTTAGGATGGCGCTGTTTGCTATGGCAATATCAAAGTATATTCTCGTTTACTAAAAATGTCCGTCAAAATTTGACAAAATATTCTCCCCCATTCTTATTATATGCGGATCACAATATTATGTCTAATTATTGCAACCAGTCAATTTCCTTCTCGTAACGAGTGAGTCATAAGAAAAAGTCAGTCGAGATTTTCGGAATACAGTCTTTCAATTTCTGAGGGTGCTTTGAAGGTTCTAGAATGGGAGGTGTATTATATATCATAATATTGTACAATGTCAAATACAAGCTTTCGAAAGGTCGAGGAAAAATCTGATCATGTCAATGTTTCTGTATACCAAAACAATCAATCGGGTGCAAATTGTAAACAACCCTTAAAAATAACATTAATATAATCATCAGCCGGCGCTTACTAGAAGCCCTTCCGGAGACTGAGATGGTTATCATGTCGGGGAGAACGTCAAACAAATGGAGACAAGGAACACTGATGGCTCCAAAGTGAGTCATCTGTCTTTTACCCGCTTTAAAACGGCTTCCGGGTTCTGATGCAGATGGCTATCCATCCTGCATGTTTTCGTAAATGACATTACGCACCATGGAACTGGCATTTACCAACTTCCATGTATGGAGATTTTGAGAGACACAATGCGGGGGAAAGGTCACGTTGGGAGATTTTAGAATAGGGCTGCTTGAAACTTGTTTTTCAACGACGAGACTTCGAGCATGATGAAAACAAAACATTTCCTTATCCCAAAGTGATAAAGGCTTAAATTCACGGAGCTATACTGAGCCGGAAAGTTTGCAAAGCATTTTGTTTTGCTAAACAAAAATGAGCAGGGAATCAGTCATTAGCAATATACATCACATGACACGTTTGGCTCATTGCTAAGGCAATATTTGCGGTGCTTACTAGATCCCTGAAACTCGCCCAGATTTCGACCAGCTTTTGTAATGGACGAATAGACAAGAAGACGCAATTATTTTGAGTCAATAAGAACGTGCGGTTCCAATGCATCTCCACAGCAATGTTTCCCCAAAATACTGTGCGTGAAAGCGAATAATTAATCCGTCTTTATAGCAAAGCATTTTGTCCAACACATTCCACAGCGAAGCTTTCTCGTAAATCTTTTACTTCTTTCCATATACGTATATGGTCCCAGTAGTCAGGTGTGCAATTGTGTGTAGGATACTAGGAAAGGGGGGGGGGGATGGGTAATTAAAAATTGATACAATTTGGCGAGAACAAATCTGATTGAACGTGACGGGGAGGACCATCTCTAGACTTCCTTTCCAGCCGCACGCAGGTGTTTTTTTTCCTAACACGTGGTCGAGATAACGAATGAATGTGATGGAAAAATAAAGATTGAGCCGACGAGAATGCCACGTCGGAAAGCCCAACACCCCAAAATATCCGCGGGTCTCTAAAATGCAAATTTGTCTCAAATCAACCTTTTAAGATAGCCACTTCAGACAAATAGACCACCTGTCCAAAATTGTCATTTATTTTGTTCAATTTTCAATTATATACTCCCAGTAACCTCGTTCCCATGGTGTCGAGCAATATGCTCCCACTACCTTTCAATCCACAATTTCAAAGTCTCTGTGTTTTTTTTCAGGTAGTCTTTTAAAAACTCTTTCACTGAGAATACTGAGAATAGGCCTAAACACAAAAAGACAGAAAACGATTACCATTAAAGTGACAATAAGCGCGTGTCAATATACCGTTGGTCATACAGGATGATTCATGATATTTTTAATAGATTGGTTCTCAGATAGAAGTTCCATGAACCAATTTTATCTTTAAATCTAAAGCATGGGTTCAACGTTATCAAGTCTCATAGTGCGTGTGACCACATAACGCTATATTTGGACGGAGACAATTTGGTTCAATCGAGGAGTCAGGATATAAAGCTAATCATCTCCACTTTTTCCGACGCGGGGTCGGGAAACTCGGGCTGATTATCTATGGGTCGAGTGAGCAGAAAGTGATTTCATTCAGTGGATTAACTATAGTCCCTGGACAAGACAGTAATGAGGTCTTACTTGCATGGGCCCTCCGCATTTTTTGTGTGTGTTCCCATTTGCAAAAAGTCCCCATCATACAATTTAACGCCTGCTGGTTTATTTTGGCAGCTGCTATATATGTAAAGAAACAATCAACAGAATTTGACTTATTTCGTTGCAATTGTTAATTTTAGACCACAAAAGGCAGTCCCTTAACCCTTTCTACAAAGTGTGATATCTGTGCATAATTTCTCCAGTTATTGGAATGTATATGGAAAATGACAGTTGAAAATTGACGAGTTTAATACAAATTTAATGACAATGCCAATATGTGCGTGCGATCAACATTTTGAAGGAGCATATATGAAATTATTCTGACTTACACTAATGCTGGCAAGGGCAACTTAAAGTTCAGAAAAGGTTTTGTTTATTAATTAAGACATTTTAGGTGTAACTTAACCCACTCTGCACTCGTCTTCTCCCACCATCAAAACCCTCACAACATCAGCCTGGGATTAATAATTCACCTGATATCCTATTCTCGATGTTCGTTTGTGCAAAAAAAAAGGAAATACGACATGTGGTGAATTAAACATTCATAAAGTTATTCTGTAACATGACGACATTTCGACACGGTTGTACAATCAGACCGGGTGCGAAGGTTGAAATCACCTGACAAGTGTTGGTCTTCAAATAATAGCAGGCGAAGAGCTTACGGAAAGCGGGGACCGGCGGGGCAGGTGCTCCGGTGGGGTATAGCCCCCTGGACGCGCTCACGCAATCTCCTGTCGGGGGCGGGGGGGGGGGGGGGGGGGGGTGGAGGGGAAGGGGAGGTGGGAAGGGCAGCGAAACACTTCCTGGTTTCTCGCGCCAACCCTACATTTCCGTAATGCGTTTTGAGCACGAAAGAGGAACTTCTTATTTCCGTGTGTCTCTTACACTGACCATAGACCTTTATCGTGCTGCTACTATTTCAGCCATGCTCCCTGTAGGCGATAACAGTACTGAATGATAAATGTTTTTGTGCAGGAAGGAACCAGACTATTTTACCTGCCAGCCTCACTTTGGTGACGTTGATTTGAATGGGAAAAATCAAGATGGCCGCAACATGATTATGGTCTATTCATGCTTAGGGAGTCAGGGCGTGTGGCCTGGTTCAAATCCCACCCTGGTTGACTTGGGTTTTCAGTCCCTCCCTATTCCATGGGTTTTCCCGGAATATTCTCCTAGGTATTCCTCCCACATCTTAATCAGAATTTCTCTGTGTTTTCCCCCTCCCGTTTGGTTTCTTTGGGCTTGTGAGCCACTGCGCATGAACAGTTTTGAAGAATTGTTTAGAGCAAACAAGCTAAAATATACAATAAAATAACTAAGTTCAGATTCATCCAATTGTTGCGACGCATGAACACAATGGCAGGCTCACCAAACGGTATTAACAGGAGTATCGCCGTCTAAGGTCTTAAGATCTTTGACTTTAAGGTCCAGTGTGACGTCTTTGAAGTAAACTGTTGATTTAAAAACATCTCAAGAATATTCAGAACTTGATTAAGTATATCACCGCACAAGGCACTTTTTCTTGAACGCAAGGGAAGTGCAAACGTTTGATCTACACTTGCCGAGTTTTCCATAATTTTACCCCTGCGTGATTTCCTCAAACTGTGTTTTTGTTATTCAAAGATTTTTCTTCCTGATTGAATTTCAGAATTTAAGAACATGCTTCCTTGGGCTTTACTTTTGGTCTGGAAAGAGGGGGAATGATTGGTGAACGCGACCAAGCCAAACCAGGGAATCGGGAAATAAAATCAGGTGTTTTTTTCCTCGGGGGAGGGGGGGGGGGTAGGTCCTTATTACTTTATACTTGATGCCTGGGGTCATTTGCATTAGGGTGACCTCATATGCACGCTCTTTCACCGCGTCGGATACCAAACACCAACCATCCAGATTGGCAGTGTGTTGACGTTGGACTCAAACAATCCTCCGTTTTTACCCTTTTTTTCCACGGGAATGGGGCCAACATACTAGGCCCAATTTGAGAGCGCCTCCCTTAGGCAGTAAACAAAAATTCATCCCGCATTTGCTTATTTTGGGAGCTGAGAGGCTTTGGAGAAAATTCGAGGACCTGTTTTGTATAATTCCTTAGGATTTCCAGATAAAATTCTGAGTGTGCATTATCCACTTTTAGTTCCCAGCGAGTGTCAAAAGGTACATAAAACCATTTTCTTGTTGTGCATATAATGACAACTAACTTGTTGAAGTTTCATCTATGTGGATATTATACAGTCTCGTAACTTGATTCAGTTGCTAACGCATGAAAAAACAAACAACCTGTGCCCGCGGGAACATTTTCTTTAACCACCTTCAATGATTGTTTTCTTCGGATCGATGCCATTTCCTAATTTCACAAGGTTTTTGGTGCCAGTCCTGCCTTCACTTTGAGCAAGGATTTTTTTTCGTTAGATCGGTAGGTACGCTTCCGGGGAATTGCAAATGTTCCTGTACGTGCTGATATTTCAAATAAGAGTCAGGTTATTTTATCATAAACAAAGAGAAGAGAAGCCTCATTTGTGGAGTTCCCGACCTTTGTACCAATAATTAATTTGACCTGAAAGCCCAAACCAATAAATTAACGAGAATACCAGTCAACGTTTAGTAATGAATCAACTCAATACATTCCTTGTTGGACATCAATGAATGAAGGTTTTTTTAATTGCTGTACACTTCTCTGAAAAAAAAATCGATTCGTGACGAGGTCCATTTTTCCTCATCGACAAAACAATGAGTTCCTGAACTTTGAAGCAGGCAATGGTCAAACCGAGGCTCACGAATGCTATCAGATACAAAGACAACAGTGAACAGTAAATTTTTTGTCATTTTCCAAGCACATTCACTCGCAAAAAAACTGCGAAATATTGCTCCTTTTCCAGCCAGAATGTTAATTAATGTTGGCCTTATGGGGGGAACATTGCCTAAATTTAGTGAAATCGAATGAAGGGATAAAACATTGCTCACTTTTGTTTACAGAGGTTTCATTAACGTCGTGAGTTGTAAGACAGCAGACTTTTTTTCGCGCCAGAAATAGCTGCAAGTGCTCTGCACGATTCCCGCCAATTTCCAAACAAAAGCGAGTACAAAGAGCTATAAATCTAGTAACGCTCGACATGCGAGCGTTTTAATAGTGTTCTTTCGTATTATTTGACAGTGCATACTGCATGGGAAGGCCTTATTGTTTTGCACGGCTTTTGAGTGGATAGTATGTACACATCTACCGTCTACCATGCGGTATGAACCGTCTATAAACCAAAAAAAAAATACCAATGAAGCGTTTATTGTCATGTTAGTTGACACGAAGATGATGGCTTCGATGGATGGAGTGTGATTATAGTCAGGGGAAATTATAACAAATTAACTCCCTTAAAAAAACCGAGAAGGGTGACAGTGCAGACTGTACGTCTCCTCCACTGTATAGTTCACCTAATGGGAGGATATTGTATTACTTTGATAAAAATAAAAGACTTTCAACGAGTACTGCCAACTAATTAAATTAATTACTTATCGAGTAATTGCTGAATTTGACTACAACTGTAAAAATGGAAAAATCCATGTTTTGAATTCAAACTTATGTTAGTATAATAAACCTCGTAATAATTATACCATTGTTTTTCTGACCTTGCAGACAAACATGTACATTATGATGTATATTTTTTTACTGCGCGTAAAATTTCCATATTTTGTTACATGTAATGTTCTTTAAAGACATTTTATTAAATTTGAAAACTACTGAAGGTTTTTACTTGTAGAGCCAACAACAATTCTCCTAACACAATTATTACTGTCCTTAAATTTCTTGTTCTTTTCAGAAGAAAATACACAGAAGGCGTAACAACCATATAATTAAAGCTCTGTCTATATGAGTACATTGTCATTAAATAAATAAACTGGGGTGCATTGATGACTTGAGTATAATCTTGATGAATATGGCATTTTATTTTGTGGACCATCGACTCTTTCTTATCATTGAGGTAGTTGCTCGACATCACAATACCAAACCATACTCAGAATATTTGTCTTGCATGACGCACCAAGCAATGGCCAAATTATTTTAATTTACAACCTAAATTGGGGTTGGTACCAATTAACCCATCTTGTTAATTAATTGTATTGTGGAGCGTCAGTGGCACCAATGACAAGCAAAATCGCATTGTGAATTGATGCTTCAATATGTCGTCGTTGAAAGCTCCAACGGAAACGAGCTAAGTAAACAGTCCGCCCCAAAAGCATCCTCCGCACTATTGTCCCGGAGATTGTTCACGACGTTTGAATAATGCCTCACATCGCGTGGTCTACATCTTCCTGTTTTCAGACAGCGAAGGCCTGGGGGTGGGGGCGGGGGCGGGGGAAGTTATTGTAAAGAGACACGGCTTTGTTTTCAGGGCATCCATCAATCTATACCGTACCCGTCAGCATCGGGAAATGGCACTAATAGAGGTGATGAGTCCCCCATTAACCTATACACACCTCCAATTAACGAGGATTTTTTTTCCTCGTTTGACGACTGAGTTCGAGAACCTTTTTTCTATTTTTTTTCCTGAACTGTGTAAAGAATTGAAGAGTTCATTGGCTCATTTTCGATGAACTTTGAAGAGTTCGCCACCAAGTATTTTTTTATAGCCTTGCTTCTAAATTTCATTAGGATATTATCTCTGTACTTGATGGTTCTCATGTTGGAATAAGCGGAAGCAGGGAATTTAAATTTAAACAATAGTACATCACTGATCGTTACAATTTGGTGCCGTTTTGACCCCATGCACAGAAGCATTTTAACTTTGACCTGCTTAATTATCACCGCCAAGGAGGTTATGTTTTCATTGGATTTGGTTTGTTGGTTGGTTGGTTTGTCTGTTAACAAGATTACTCAAAAAGTTATGAACGGATTTGCATGATTTTTTTTAGGGGTGGTCCTTGGTACAAGTACAAATCTATTAGATTTTTGAAGTGATCCGGATCTGGGTATGGATCCAGGACTTTTTAAAGGATTCTTCACCGTTTTTGCGAGTATTTCTTTTGGATGTACTGACAATATGGCGGGGAATTGTTTAGCCTTGGCGAAGGTTTGCGCTCTCTGAGTGCTTTCTACATGTAGTTTGGTGACGCCAAAATTAATCAAACGCATACGAATTTTATATTTAAACGAAATGTTTTTTTTTTTGTGGTGAATTGTTTTTGATTTTGTTACGTAAAACATGAAGATAACCTTTTTAAATTTACATTTTGTTTCAACATCATGCATGTTCAATTGAAAATCTTGAAAAATACGCTTATTCGCTTGGATCTGTGAACATTTTGAAACGTACTTTCATGTGCAGCATTTGGCTCAGTTACAAAAAAAAAACACTTCATCTTTCCAAAAATATTTTAAGCAATGTGTTTTGTTTTTCATTTTCTTGGTTATTGAATTGTAAAGCAAATTTAATGCACATGCACATGATCCTTCTCAAGAGTAGAATATTTTATTTTCACGTGACTGACGAAGCGACAATTGTAGGACCACACTGAATCCTGACGCCAGATATACGATTACATCGGTCTTGAAGACGTGACGTGAATGCAAACAGCGATGGTTGAGGGGATGGGGTTCGGGTGATCGTCTTGTGATTTTTTGGGCTTCTACCTGTCTGGATTAATGGACACATCTTAAGTGTTCTACCGACAACCTGTCAATTGGAAGGGTGGATGCGGGTGGTGAGACACTGCCGAGGATGACACAGCGAGAGCCCCTGATAGGTGACACACTGTGTATGTTCTGGAGTATCAGTGGCTATATAGCTCTAGGTGTTTTAAGCACTCTTGTTCATACCAAGACCTCCCTTTCAACACTCGAATTGGTGCATTGTGCACGGAAAGGGGCTTCAACTCTGGTAATGGCTGCCGTACCTCTTGTTAGAAACCTCTGTAAAACAAACTGCGCCCCGAGGTAAAATATAAAGCTTTAATGCACTGGCTTGCCTTATCGTTTATTTATGTAAAAAATTATTGGAACATGACCACTAAAACAAGATGAACCAAAGTCGCGACAGATTGCTTCGGGTACATACTCGGACTTGGCGACGGCAGAACGTTTTCCCCCTCAACGGGGGAAGGGAAATAATTATGTCTGTATTTGTCAATTTACACCAGAGGCCGAGGATCCAAAAAGTGGGGAAGGATGATGCCCCCGCTTTCCCCCACTTCGACCGCTTCGACCACTTATACTCGGACAATAACGGAGGAAACGTACATGTTAATAATGTATGCGATATACCTATACGACAAAAGTGAAAGGGCACGTAAAGAAATATCGAACTCAGTGCCGGATTAAGTGTTGCGTTGGCCCAAGGCACCAGTGTTCCGTAGGCCCTACTCCACTCTAGGCACCAGTACCAAATTATTCGTAGGCCCCAAATTGTTCGTAAGCCCTATAGGCGCAGTGCCTACTGCGCCTATTGGATAATCCGGGCCTGACTGTATATTATGGAATAACAGCACAAGGTCCTCTCGCAATAACATATACCCGGTTTGCCTTCAGACTTTGATAAAAAAAAATTAAAGTATTTTTTTCTAACAAGAGGAACTACCTCTCAAAATCTTCCTTGAGATGGGTGGTGAAACAAGTGGCCTTGCGTTCCCATGATGCGTCTTAATATACGCAGGTATCCCATATAGGGACCCTTGCAGACGCATGGAGTCTACGCTGCAATGTTTCGTTTGTCATTCTACAGCAACATGCCTCAGGAAAAGAAGCGGGTCGAGTTTGGCGGGGAATCCTTAGGGAGAAAGGATGGCATTACAGCCCCCATAAATCATCACCGATGGTACACACCACGGGGACCAAGTGGCATTGCAGCCCCTTTAATGATGCTTCATAAAGATACCCTACTTGCCCGGGCCCCAAGGCAATAACATGGATGATGCTTTAAGGTCCTTTGAGGGTAAAGATTACTCCAGCAAAACATATTTCCTTCCATGCCTTAATACAAGGAATTAAGTTTTGAGACGATCAGACAAGACATCCTTGCTCAGGCATTCCACGAATCTTGCCGCTAGCTGCAACTCCACCGAGGAGAACGTTGTCAAGTTTTCCTATACACATTGAACCCCGACAACAATCCAAACTGGCTCCTCTTTCAATTGTCACTCATTAATGTCACCGTTGCAAAACAGTTGATCGATGGATCAAGGATGTCCTGTCTGTACGGTTTTCTTTTGCTTATCCCTGAAAGACGGAGACTTAAAGCGGGGACTGAGTCTGACCTTTCTTAGCGGAAGCTGCGAGAAAGGGTCCTGAAGAAACTGGGTCAGTTAATAGCCAAATGGGTCAAACTAGTTTTAGAGATCACAATGATAAACCACTGGAAATCTTTTCACAAATACCAATTAAATCAAGGCGTGTATTGCTGCTCGTCCTACGTACTAGTCGTAGATGACCATGGCTTCGTGGTCTAGGGAAGAAAACGGTGGGTTCGGAGGTGGCTAATGAGGCCAATCCGGGCCCGGAAAGTCCTCCCACACCTGGGACACGTGTGGGCTGGTGGTGTATTGGTCGGGGCTGACACTCTAGTCTTCCGCATGGCCCGCTTCTGCTCCGCTGCTGCACTGCGGTTGGTTTCAGCTGCAAGCACTCCCTTGGTAAGCATCATTGTCACTGAAACATTTTACAGCAAATAATCGATCTCTACAGCAAGACTTAATTATACCTACCGATAATAGTCGCTCCTGCCACTTGGGCGAAATCCTTTTCAATGCTTCGTCGAATATACACGTTGACTTTGGATCTTTCGTCATGTCGTCAGCTGTATACGTTGGCGAAGTGTCTCCCTGGCAACAACAATAGCACCAAACACACTCATTTACTCAAAATGGCTGACATTTACATCAATTCGTCTTTTTTCGATGAATTTAATCTGACTTATCTCTTTAATTTTTAAGTTGCAAACTTCACATTTTATTTGATGTGAAGTTTCCAAATCTTCGGCACTTACTGTAAAAAGGCAAAACGAACTTGTATCCTGCTGCAGCCTGCATAGGCATATCGTTATATTGCTCAAAGAACAAAATCAAACTGTCAGTGAAAACGTCTGTCATAAATTTTTATCATCTAAAAATCCGGTGTTCGCCAAAAAAAAAAAAAAAATTGCCTTTTTTCCAAAAGTAACTTTGACATGGACTTTTACTAAATTTGTATTCTCAGTGAGGATGCAGCTGTATTAACCCTTATCCACATAATTGCTTTGGGATTTGGTAATAAATTTGTAATTGCATTCGTGCGCTGGATTTCACACGAGCATTTACTAGGGCGCACCTGTGTAAAATATATATACGTTGACACATTGACGTATTTGATTTCACATTAACATTCATCACTCGGCATACACACATGTATGTTGATATTCGGTTACATCGATAGACTGGAGTCGATGAAGTTTATCTTTACTTCCATGATGATTCCAGTTAAAGAGCCCATGTGATGTATTTTTTTTTAATTCCATACTTGGAAATACACCTTTGTGTCCCATTTTTTCCATTTTCATTTTCATTTTGCCATTTTAAGGGCATTCTGGTGTTTGTTTGGTTTTTATGCTAATGCCGATTTCCCTGACCAAAATTTGTCAAAATTTTTGATATTTTGCTGTCGTATATTAGTTTCTTTTCTTTAGTGATTCATTGATTTTTCAGTACATGACAGTAAACCAAGGAGCAAAGTTTTCTCACAAATGTTTTTCAATGAGCAAATTTTGGTTTCACAATTTGAACAGAAAAGCCCTGAAGTGAGCAGTGTCTTCCTGAAATGACATCTCAGCAACAACATCCTCATTTGTCTGGAAAAGCATGGACAATTTGAAAAGTTAAAAAACAACACTTTTCAATAAATTTAGCCAAAAAGGGATGTCAAATACTTTTCATGTATTTAAGAGGAGTAGAAAGTTGCACACAATATGTTCGCAGGTATCATGAGCCCTTTAAAGGCTGATTCGTCAAAACGTATCAATATTCACTTGCATTGATTCTTGGTATAGTTTTTAGGTTATAACTCGTAGCTTAGATGTAGCACATGTGAGCTTTGGTATGAAACCGATCATAAATTTGCGGACTAGATGAATGACGATATAAGAAGTTCACAAAACTAAAATAGGTTGTTTCTTATCACAACATGATAATACCAAATAAATACATGGAAAAAGTTAGGTTTTTAACAAAAATGTGATTATATTACAACAGTGATGGTGCAACATCGCCAAACAGCAAAAGTAACATGACTTCGGTTGAATTATTCAAAGTACAATATAATACGACAACGCATGACGGGTGTTCCGTCTCTTTGGAAAATTCTTATACTGGTTGTCGAAATATAGATCCACTCTTAATCATTAAATAGACAAAGGATAAATTCACGGGGAAAATGCCTTCAAGGTTACGATGAGCAAAACGAACAGGGTTTTTTAGAGATCACAATTTGGTCGAACGCGCAGTTACAATCTCAGCGAATAGCATAAAGTGTGTGCATCTACGCCGTTAACACCTTTTGAAACGAAAAGTGTCAGTGGTCAGCAATGGATGAAATCAAGTTACGAGTCTACCAATTACATCACCCTGTCGCAAATTGCTGTATTATCTGATGGCGTTTCTTTCAAGTTGCTACTGGACACGTTTATGCATCAATGGGGGATGTCTTCTCAAGGTCGTTGTCTTCTCAATGTCTTACTCTAGGTCGTTATTTCAACTGCGCACGGTGGCATCAAATTATGGGGATTTTTCGCTTTTAAAACGAACAAAGGTTTCTAATGCAATCAAAAAGAAGACGGAATGTCGTTTTCTAATACTGCAAAACGGTTCCTGCTGAGCGATAAGTTTTCTGCAGTAACTTGGAATCGTCTCTGATTTCGCACACACAGGGCAGATTGTTTAGCTTCCGAAGACATTTCTTTGCATTAATTGTTTATGTCTGCAAATTATAATTCAAATTTGGCTTATTTTTTGAACAGTTAGCCTCGACTAAGCTTCGACTATAAAGTCATTTTTCATTTAAACATTTTTGCAGATTTAAGGACAACATATGAAGGTAAGCACCGAAGTTACGAACGCGACAAATAAATAAATGATGCTTATCAACACAATTGGAAAAAGATAAAGAATTTCGTTGAAATCAAATTCTTTAGTCTAAGATTATGTACGGCGCCGTAACAAGGTTAACACCGTAAGCAATGTGAAGTATTTTGCAATTAAAATCTTGACGTTTCCATCTGTTGGATTGTGCGAAAAAATTGAAACGTTCTTGTTTGGCTTACACCCATAACAGTCTTTCGACTCTCGGACTTAAACCACTTTTAAATATCGCACACCATCTTGGATATAAAATAAGATAAATAACACCATGATCGTAACCTTGATTCTAAATCGAATCCCAATGCACGATTAAGCACCTCTCAAAACTTGTTTGACATAAGTGCCACCCTCATTAAGTAATCAATCTTTAAAAACTGCACATCGCAAACACATACTAACTAACTGACTAGACAAAAACTTGGATCGAATTTTCCCACCTGGTTCCAAGGGTAGCTTCCTTGATTGCGGTCGACTGACTTCGTTCGCTTGCCGGCTGTCAAAACAAGAAGGGAAAAAAGAGAGAATATAATGCGTAACCCCGAATTAATCATCAAATTGTATTTGGTTGGTGATTAACGTCCCGGCTAGGTCCTTGCGGCTTCCTCTGACGACCTTCAATTAGCAGAGCGTGATAATAATATTATTACATTCACCTCAATGTTACTTCTACCTGATATGAGACTTAATGTGCGTGTGTGATCGATGGGTGTTTCGAGATGTCTGGAGAAAAAAACGGGAAACGTGTTTGGAATTGAATGGGAAGCACAATGAAGTTGCGAAGGACAGCTGAGTAAATCTTACTCAGGTTTTGTTGGCGATGAGCTTTTCTTGAGTGTGGTCTGGTACCATATGTGAACTTTTTCGAAAGTCCAAAATGCTTGTCATTTAACAGAGCACGGCGGTGCAAATTGGAATATCACACATTTAGAATTAAAAAAAACCAACAACATACCTTTCCGGGAGAAATTTGCTATACCCTGTCTTTCGTAAGTTCAATTCTGTTTTGACTTCACCTCGTATATAGTATTGATAAATGAGTTTAGTTCATCGTATAAATAAAAATACAAAGGGGTTTGCCTCCAACGAAAAAGAGCCTAATGACGGACATATAGAAGCCGGAATTTTACTCCTACAGTAGAGGGTGTTAGGCAAATGACGTCAACGTCTTGCTGATATAAATTTTAAATAACAGATTTAAAGAATAATTTCATTAACTGCAATTATGGTACTTTCTGTAGCCAACTGGAAAGTGTGTTAATAGTACCCGTGATTCGAGTTCGCATCCTGTACAGTACTGTTTTATACAATTCTGCTTTCCTTCTTTCCTATTTTCTTTAAAAACACATGTTTCCTTTCTAGTTGTTGTTTATTAATTTTAGTACAGCATAGGAAAGTTGGCAGGGGACGTGTTGCCAGTGGGAGTAGGCTCAAGGAACATAACAGCGCCCATGAACACGGCATAAACGAAACACCTCCTTGAATGAGATACGAGCTCAAGAAATGAACAACTCTTCCGAATCCCTGACGGTGCGATACTTGAGCCTCTTATAAAAATTGACCACTGTTCTCCTGGACCCTGGCTAGAAATTAAGTCCTCTTAATATGTCAGGTGAAATTAATCTGCAAGCCACCTTGTAGTGGAAAATGATGCTAGACATTGACGGAGAAAATTAAAGCAGAGCAGACCAAACACTTGACGATCCGACCTTTTATGGCGTATTGTTTATAAATAGATGTCTTCATTATGGTTTTGATTTCAGGACAGGATAATCTATTTTGACAGAGAGCCACTCTCAAGTGTCGGTTCCTATTCCGGGCACCAATTAACTCCCCCTCCACTCGACCCCCATCTGAAACCTGAAGTCCTATTTTGAAGGTGATGTTGTTTTTGTATCGTGCAATCGATCCACGTGCAGTCTTTCGCCCTCCGACCCCGCTTTAATCAGATATAGCGTGAAATTGGAGTGGGTGACAAAGATGTGTATGAACAAGGATGCCTGATTGCATTAAAGTCTGGTTTTACGATATCAACATTTTCTTAGTATAATGTTCCACAAGGTTTGGGCATGATAACTTTACCGGGGACTCTGGCTCGGGTCCTCGGTGTTGTTGCTTTCTAAGGTAACCCTTTGTTCCAAGTCCTCGGTCGCAAAGGAAAACCTGTACAGCATTGTGTCGCTTTGCCATTAAATTTGCACTGAAGCCAACTTTATTATTGAAGTACTGTAGCAACATAAACTAGTGTTGCAAAGAAATATACCAAGTATAGTTGCCATGGTTTTGGAGAGTTTCGTGAGTACAACATTTGCTGTATGGTGTTAACCTAATCTTCAGGAAACATGAGTGAAACGGAATCAAGTCCGTTTACTATTGCAGTAACTTGACCGAGATGACACCTCTCATATGACGAAGGGAGTTTTTGGTATATGATAATTTTGAGGTTATTTTAATTAAGACTTGAAGTTTACCTGAATGACAATGGCGTTCACAGGCCATTTTAAACCATTTCCCCAAAATGACTTCACTTCGATATTATAAATTTTCAAAATTAAATTTTAATTGGGATGTAGTTTTACTTATACACTTACATCATGGGCATCATCAGTTACAAGCCCACCATGCAGTGGAAGACGTGACTCCTTTACGTCCTATAATCCATCAGATATGAACCCGGGGGCATTCACCCTTTCTAACCCCCGTTTTGTTTCTAGGGCAGTAAATAACTGATGCCAAGTCTTTCCAGTGGTTTTCCCCCAGCGACTTCCCCCCACACGATATAACCAGAAGGCTCATGTTTTAATTAAGGGGCACCATTGTGATATAAAGTTATTTGTCAGCACAGGTTGTCCAATTAATTCAGGCATATTTTCTGGCCCGTGTGCGATCACTATCAACCACCCCCGCCGGGTCGCCTCGTATTACACCGCTATTGACGCTAAATGGAAAGTGACGCCATTCGTCTCTGTCATTCACCGAGACGCAGATAGTGAAAGCTTTTCATACGGCGCGGATCGATAAATATTCATACTTCGATACAATGAACAGATTCATTTTTTTTTCGACTAACGAAACAATCAAAGAGTTTTGGAGAATCAATTTGCCAAATGACGAAGTAGCAAACCTTTCAAGGAAGGTTTATTCCCAAAGTTTTCTCCCAGGAGGTGGGGTTTTTGCTTGACTAGGAAGTTGGAAATGTCAAGTCTTTTTTCTTTTACTCTTTTTGCGAAAGTGTTTTCTCTGTGAATGAGTGATTACCGACACCTTGGGGACTTGTAGCGATGACGCAAATTACAAAGCAAAGTTAGGGCCCATCAGGGAAAAATTACAATCAAAGGAGGCACAATGAGTGTTGAGAAAAAAACAACAATAACACTTTTTGATTTAAATTGATTACCAAAACAATCCAACGAACACACACAAACACACACATAAAAAATATCAAAATACATGAAAACGTTTCACAATATTATTATAATTTATATGACTGCAAATTTACTCCACGGCTCAAATTCAGATTGTTTTTAAACAGGAACAAATTTGATAGAGAATCTGGAATATATTTTAATCTTCTGCCGATAAAAATAAGTAGAACTGACTGCACGCGTGTGGCTGTGATCTGGTATACTTATGCATCGCAAACCTAGTTTCGCGCTTAATATCAGATCATCGACCCACATTTCATGCACAGTGTGATATGACCTATAAAAGTCGGTTTTTGGGGTATGATGTAAAGGAACTATATACCTCGCATTGCGTCGCTGCGTAGTACTTTACGTAGCCGACCTTTTGATGCAAGATAACCACTCGGTTAGTCCATCATAGCAGAACACGCACAAGCCCCATTAGGTCCGACCACTTGGGCCTGTGATTTCCCGTCGTAGCCTATATACCACGCGGTTCCTTACACCCTTACGTATTGAAAGTGGGCCGAATATGCACATCTTAAACAAATCATTATTCTCTTCTGAAACGCACACAGTATGTGTAGTTATCACAAAGGGAATTTAGTGTTTTTTTTTTGGGGGGGGCACTAAGCATAAAAATGATTTTTAAACCAAAACCAACAAGTGCCAAAATCCGGGGGGGGGGGGGGATGGGGAGGATATATCCACCCGACTTTGTGACCAGAGGGGATGGGCCATTGAATCACCCCCACCTACCCCCACCCCCAAAATATTTGTGGTGAATAAACAAACAAAAGTGTAAATTTTGCGGTGTTCTTGTAACTTTCCAACAGTCTGAATGCTTTAAATAGTTATGAAAAACGAATAGCATAGGCCTACAGTACAGACGCTTTATGCACCGTTTTGATGTACGTAAGCACACAGCACTGCGTAAGCTGTACATTTGTATCTTGAATGGCGCCCCTATTGTCATGCCCCCCCCCCCCCCCCCCCCCGCTTTTCGAATTTCGACGGCCAGGCAATTTTAGGATTTTAGGTCACGCATTTACGCCACTGCAAACCAAGTTGGCTTCATTTTGTTCATTCTGTTTTTATTTTTTCTTATAACTGTCTAAATGCATCTGTTCACATTTCGCATGTTTGTAAAATGTTTGCCGAGTTTGTTTTTCTATATCTGGGCTTGTATGACTCTGGTAACATTTTTTTGGGCGGGGGGGGGGGGGGAGGGTTCAATCCGCATCAAGGCTTACTTCAGTGATTCATGCTTTGTACGATTCAGTTCTCCTTGACACTTTATGTCGTTTCCCCAATATAAGTAGAAATTAGCGTTTGCCACGAGCATATGATATTCAGGGGGACTAGAATTGAATCTTCCAAACTTCAGCCGATATTCTCCTCGTGTAGCAATTTCAACGTAGTCTAAAAAAACCACCCAAAACCAAGAAAGGTTTAATGCTCCATAGTATTTCTACCTCGCCTCAAAATACTCGGTATTATTTTGTAGCATTTAGAAGTTCATTCAAAATAAATTATGTGGAATATAGTATATTAACATCAGAGAAACCTGCGTTTGTAAAAAGTTAATAATTCAACAAGGACAGCTGTAACAATTTACAGTTTGAGCTATTAACAACAGATAATTAAAACGTCCATTCGTGCATTGATGAAAGCGTCGAACGATGGCGTAGTATAAAGGACAGAAAAATAGCGCAGTGAACAACTATTTGACAAGACGTTCATACGGAATTAACACTCCAGTGACATTTTCCATAAGCTTCGTGTGTAGGTAAGCTATATTAAAGGGCAGATTGTACTGCAAAGTTCAAATGAACCACTAATCAAAACAAATGTCAATCCTTCCCCCGCCGATGTTTACAATCTGTAAGGGTTACGGTCTGCGGGAAAGCAACGCAGTCTAATTGAACTTGAGGGCCTTGTCCATTTCGCGCCTTTTTTTACGCGCCTTTTTTATTTTACGCGCCACAGTCTGAAACCACGCACTCTGATGGATATTTACTCGTGTATGGTCGTGTGGAGAACCACGACACGAGTCGGAAACACAAGATGGGACAAAAAAACTTTACCTTGG